TTTTTTTTTTATTCTTTTTTTTGTCTTTCTTTTCGCCCCACCATTTATGGGGTGTGATTAAATTCAGATAAGGGAGAGTTAGGCCATGTGCGATGTTTCTGCAGGGATTACATACTGGAAGACATGTTCCATTCCCTAAGTATCTGAATAATAACTAAGAGAACATTGTGCCCATATTATACTCAAGCCGTTACCTGAGAGATAATGCTTTCATCGTTTGCAATCTATTGATTCATGATAATGACAATATGACGTATGCGACGTTGGGACATTTATTAGCACAATATGTGCGGGAAAGGGCACTAGGGGGGGATGGACCAGCATATACGGTAATTCATTGTGAGGGACACATGGAGCAAGCAGGCGCCTGCACATATATATAGGTGGTCGATAGGCGGCGTACGCAGTTTGCATCATACATATGTTCACATTTCGTGAACGGGAAATCATATGCCCGATGTGAGCATACCATCCGTGGTGCACACTGTAGCATACGGGCGACTGGCCTGAGTATCCTCCGTGAAGACAAGAAAATGACATATATGTATTCGCCTTCGCATTACTCCAATTGCAGAAAAGCATATGGGAAGATGTAAAAGCGCTACTCGAAGAATTTGTGGAATATATGGAAGATGATAATCTAGAAAGCTATTCAACCAATTGTTTGAACGCGGGTTACAAGAGTCTGGGAAATAAAACCATATTTTTGGCAAAGACAGTCGCAGATAGACTTATGTGCACACTCATGACAGGAGCATTAAATTTCCTGAACAAGTGGCGTAAGCAGTCAGGCGGTTCGAACAAAAACGACCCTACTAATGAAGCGTTGAAGGAACATATAAGGTGCGCAATAGTAAATGTATTCATGTACATATTGCTGGCATCTCCATGCAAAAGTCAAATGGGAATAAATAATGCATGGTACACTGTGCAACAAATGGAAGGGGGCACGACGGGTGGTTTAATAACCGACGGTAAATGTGCACAGGGAGTGTTTCAAAACATACAAATAGGAGAATTTGACATGCAGACTAAGATTCAGGAATGGTTAAAGAAAAACAAGAGAGTGACTGACAAAATTGGAGGGGAAAACATACAAGGCATATGTAAGAAAAAACTAGACGAACTTGGCGTGGCCAGGCAGGACGAAAATGACATGGATGAGAGCATAGAACTGACGAAAACGGAGAAAGAAGCTATAAGTGAGTTAGGCCAAGCACTGAAGACCATAGTTGAGGAGGTGAAGACGGCGGTAATGCAATGCGCGCGGGAAAATGGAGCATGCATAGACCCAAGCGAACACGCCGCCAGTAGCCAACTCGAGGATAATGACAGTAAGGCCACAGTATCGAACTCTGTCGCCGGCGGCACAACAGCAACGGAACCGACAGGTAAGGACCGATGGGGAGAAAGCACCAATACGGCACGCACACCAACACGGCGCGACACGGCCGGCCCGCATGACCCGTACCCCTCGATACTGCCGAATATGGATGCCGCCGCCAACAACAACAACGCACGCACGCGCGGCGACGACGGCAGTGGTAGCGGCGCGGGATACACCGGAGTTGAGATGACGGCGCATAACGACAACATATGTGTAATGCTAACGTCTACCGCAAGTCCACCTCACCGTACGATTGCTGCCCCCCCACGTCGTTCTTTCTGTCTTTCGTCTGCTAAAGCTGTCCGCACTTCTAACACTTGTTGTTTGTGCCATTTTTTCATGTTTCTTCCTTCTACCCTACGATATCAGACAAGAGCAAACACACACAGAAGGACTCTTCTCCAAAGGCCCCAAAAGAACACAACGGAAGTAAAGACTCACAGGAGCCCAAGGTAACAGCGACACCACCACAACAAGGAAGAGCAGATACAACAGCAGGGGACGCCGTACCATCAGCATCCGTGTCACCCCAGGCAGAGCCATCATTACCACCAGAGAGTGGAGCATCCGGTACAGCAGGATCCGCAACACCCACAAACAAGTCAGGAGCGGAGGCACAGACGCCACAGGCCACTGTTACCACAAACCTGCCGGATACAGGTTCCGGTCAGGACCATGTCACCACCCAAAAGTCAACATGTGGTCGTAGCGCGCATACCAAGGTAACTCACGTGGGTGCAGCTACCGCAACAACCACGATTACCCCTGTAACCCCACTTTCTACTTCCGGATGCCCAGGTAACTGGGCCGTCATCTTCACACCGCCTCCAGTGCACCACGCGGTGCACTCCATGTACGCGTATACTGTATGGGTCATACGCACGACATATGGGGCAACAACAAGAACAAACAAGAAACAACAATTTCCGGAGAGAGAGAGAG